CCCACCCACACCCACACCCACACCCACACACCCACACCCACACCCTGCTAAAAGCACCAAAGAACATATACATGTCGAAATAACAGAAGAAAAATCATTTTAACTAGGATATGATAATCTGAATACAAAATTTTTGGTAGGATTTCCATCATATTTCTATATATTAATTTTTGAGACCGAAGTTCGCTTTATAAAAGATGAATTTAGTCTTTCTTATGTCTATTACAATAATGATGTAAAACCTGTTGTATTCTAAAAAAACAAAATTTGAAATAAATCGTGTTTTTAACAAAACTCTGTTTTATGCAATATTATTGTAGCCCACGAATTTGTTAACAATTAAATAAATCTGTAATAATATAGAATTAAAAAACCTATTGTATTTGATACGAATCATCAGTTGTGTGAGTGTGGGTGGGTGTGGATCTAGATATCTTATTCATCCATACCCACACCTACACTCACAGTGACACCGACACCCACACACCCACACCCACCCTGATTCGACAAAATAAAACAATATAGCGCTGATCTTTCGAATTCGCTTATCGTTTTCTGAAAGGTAGAACTAGTCACGCTAACTCTAGAAAACGATGGTCTAAATCTCGTTGTAGTTATTCGATCCTTGATATCGATGGTCATTCCACAAGAGAGTTTACGTTTTCTTTAAACTCTACTGCAAAAATCTCTCCCGTCTAAACCTACTAATAAAGTTTAGGGTCGGTGCTTACGCTGATTCTCGATTCTTACTTCCTTATGATTGAGTGTTTATCTCATATATGAGCAAAATCAGACAAAACAGGGCGAATTCGTTTTTTTAATGAAAATCGAAGTTCACCTGCGAAGTCTCCAGTTTATAAAATATGATGTTTCTATTTCATTATTGTATTTAGCAAACCAAGAAAAAACTATCTATCACTGTATTAGAAGGATTTGCCTGTTTTTTCTTTAAAAAAATACAAAAAATATGTAATAAACTTCTCCTTAGTAATCAGGTTCTCTCCAAACCTTAACAGAGACATGAGAGGATCAAAAATAGTGTATTTGTACTCTATAACGTCGCTAACAACGAGTGAGCTCAATTTTTTGGAAAATCTATTCATGGTCAAAAAAAAACTTTGAATACTGATCCTGTAGTCTCAACAGTCGTCTACAGAATGTACCATTCAGTTTTCAGAACCATTGTCTCAATTAGGAGTCTCTTTTAAACCAAAGTGGATGCAGTGGAAATTGATGTTCCTTTGTAGGTCACTTTGCTAACGCTAGGTTTTTTTTACGATAGTTTCTTTCAGCAGAGATCTCTAGGGCGATTTCTTCAATGTATATAGAATAACTTAAGATACACATGGCATAAAGAAAATTAGCTGCAATCAAGTCCATTTTCCAATATTATAGGGTGTGGATGTAAGTGTGATGGTAATATTGGCTATCTTATTCCATCCCACACCAAAAACAAATGAGCAGTTAGCGGGAATGAAGTGATCTGTATTGACACTAACAATTTCGTTCATTGCTCTGCGTTATTAAACTTTTAAAGGAAATTTTATCGACAAATAAAGCGTACAGAGAAAAAGTAAATCTTCTCAGAAATCAGTTTATCCCGAAATTGTGCTGATCGTCTAAGGATCTCTGAATAGCAATGGCAAGTAGTTCATCATCCATCATATTCATCACATTTGGCTGTTGAAAGAGTTCTCTCAAGGTTAAGTTTTGATCAGGAGTATTTCGACAAATATCAATGAGAAATTTCGACAAGTCTTTTCCTATTTCGTTCGCACATTGTTGCATTTTGGGCCCATCCGGATGATGATCAATCACTCGTCGTTGTTCAAAGGCTGCAACAGAATCATTATACCAATATGCATATGTCGATTGCATACTACTATACAATGTCGTCGGGTTTAAATATTGATGAATAACATTTTGATAATTTTGAAAATCTTCCATATTACACTGTGCACCTTGCCCCGATAGCAAAGTGTTAGATGAAATATTTTCATTCATAATTGTAAGAATAATACCAATACTGAATAAACCTTCTACAAAATCAGCAGCACTTTCTACATTTACAGTTTCACCCCAAATTGGTTCTGCAGATAGTATATCTGTTAAAAATATTCTCCGAAATTTTTTCCAATTTTCATAATTTCCATCTAATCCACGTAATGTATTGAGTATAGTTAATGTTTCACTCATATCGATTTCATCATTGTCAATGATTATTTGTGATGATTGTGGACTAATCCATTGTCGTTTAAGTTGTTGATAATCTCGAAGAGCACAAATAATATCGTTCGGTTTCAATTGAATCAAAAAATTAGCAATATTTTCATGATATTTATTTCGATAGTCTTGTTGATTCGTAGCAGAAAACATTTGTATCTCATGAATCGTGTTTATATTTACTTCCAATAATTTTTCTCCAGCAGTTCGTAATGAATCAGCAGAATACGGTCCGAGTATGTTCACATTGGGAATAATATAATGTGGACAATCTTGTTTCTCCAATAGATCGATAGCATATTGAAGCCATTTTTGTGCTAATATTTCTTCAGTATCCGGAGAAAGATCCATTGTTTCACACATCCATAGTACTGTTGTTTTAATAAAATATGATGGTAGCACCTTTTGTCCTTTTAAAAATTTGAAATAGATACTTCGTGCAATTCCATTTAGAATTCGTTCTTTTATTGAACGTTGTTGAGCAAGTATTAACTCAATAGCAGAAAATGAATAACGAAATTCTAGTTCTCTATCACATGCCGGTGTTTTTGTTGACCATTTCGGTATAACATGCATCGATGTTTTATTCATAATTAAATGATAAATATTCGGACGATTTCGTTTTATTCGTTCGAAAAATGATTGAATATCGTTTGGCCAAAATTTCAATTGAAGTGATGGAACAAAATCAGCATCGATTGGTGCACATGATTTAAAATAATTTGCTACATGTGTGATATTATTCGGATTACCAATATGCGCATATCTATCATAGAAATCGAGAATAGCTTGAATACGAACCAGAATTACTTGTGGTAAACTATATCCATAGGCAGGACCTACTAAAGTGAGAAGATCACGAAAAGCTTGTTCATTGATATGTTTTTCTTCAAACATCGATTGATTGTATGGTGTTCGATATAATGGTAAAGCATATTGAGATATCGATTGACATACACCTTGACTAAATAGTTTATAGTTCATTCGAATTGTATCGAAATTCAGTTGATTACGTTGTTGTTCAACATTAGCCAGTGCATCGTAAAATTGTTTGCTGATATCAATTGTTTCATATTTTAGAGTTTGTGCTGCAGCAGCGGAAGATGCATCGGGTGATGTTCTACCCGTTCGAGTCACTTCGCATAGAGGAGCACCAATTTGTGTTTCGCTTGTACAATGTTCTTTTTTCAGTTGAAATCCATTGAGACATCGAATACCATTCACATCATTTTGAAATGCAAATTGAGTACTTCCCGTACGTTCGATTCCATCATCGAATTTGATTCGAACAAATCCTGGGACACCTGTTTGAATCAGATTTTGTTCATATTTGACAATACCACAATGAATAAGAATGTCAATATCTTGAATATTTTGATTGGCCATATGACGTGCATAAGTTTGACCCTCGACCGTACTTCCCGATAAAAGGGATAGACATCCTTTAGTATCTGTTGTCGTCATGTCCATTAGTATTTTTTCTAACTGATATAAAAACTGAATAGTAGTTTGTGTTTAATACTTACCTGTGTGTTGATAAAAGGCTTGAATGCGAGAAAAGAAAAAGTAATATATCTTGAATGGCGTAGTTTTTTTATCGCTACTGGCACATTGTGAGCGAAACATAATAAAACTCCGTTGATAGAAGAACGAAGATAGGGTATCACATCCTCGGAAGTGATTTTATCAGGCTCATTTTCCGTCCTCCATTCTCCTGATAACTTTAGAGAACGAAAGAAATTACTGATTGACATTGCCTGAATTATTCTTTGGCGGATTTCTCTTAGATAAACAATCATCAAAGATTTTTTAATGTTTTGTTGCAGTGTTCGATAGATAAATTTAATAATCTGATCGATGTAATAAAAGAAAAAAAAGCAAGAGTGACATCTACACCTGTCGAAGTACTTGGACAATTTGTAGGGTGGATGTTTTTGTACGGGATTGGTATATCAAAGTCCAGATTTTTCTACTGCTGTCATATGCTTTAACGAAGTTCGCTGCATTTTTTTTTGACTGATTAAATCGTTTGACTCTACATCTATTTTGCCAGTCGAAGCCAGATCTTATGTCTTTTTCATGCTTTTATCCATTCTAATCGCAGTGCTTTGTGTGAAGATCCAATGATTCGTTTCTGTCTGGTGCTCTATTTCTTTTTCCTGTCATTCGATACACGAGCATACTTAAAAAAGCAAAATAATGTCCATGCTCAGCCGACTCCGGCCCTATTATCCTGATTAGAGCAATCCGATATCAATTTTCTCATTCATTAGGGTATGGGTGCAGTTGTGCACGTTACCGAAAACAATAGCAACATCCACACTTCACGCCCATACGCATCCGCCCTCACACCCTACACCCACACCCTGTTGTTTTCATCCTCGCTCTAGAAATATTCAGTCAATCATCATGGAAGGGGACATTTCGAAATAAAATGTCATAGAAACTCAATCGTCAATGCTAATATTCGGGTACTGATAAGAAGAGTTTATAAAAAAAAAGGTTTGGTCAATTAAACATAGACATTCTTTACATGAAAAAAGATTGCGTTCTTCTAATATTGAAAGAGCAAAAATTAATACTATCCAACTCTGTAATATGTAGTTTTGAGGAAAATGATATTTATTTTCACTATTAGATAAGGAAAGCCTCAAGATCGTTTTTATTTAATACAAAGTGTTTCATCATTGCTATATTTCAGTTTTACCGAGTTCTGTTCTGTTCGGATTTAAAGGAATAAGAAAATGTTCGTATCTTGAAACGATTTATCCAATTGAGATTATACCAATCGAACAGTCTATTTGAGGCCTAACTCACATAAAAAGCGTGAGGGTGCGGGGGGAGGAGTGTGGGTGTGTGGTGTGGGTGGATGTGGATGTGGGTGCTGATGTACCTGCTTCTTTGCCAATAAAAGCACCCACACCCACACCCTGGGTTCGCCATATCTTGAGGCTGGTTTTACTAGCATTTCCATGGGATTTACATAGGAATAAAATGGTATTTTGTAATTTTTCAGGAATGGTATGAGATATAGAAAATCCAAGGTTACCAATCGACAAAGCTCGTCGAATTCTACTCTGGAACAGTTGTAGCCACTTGCTTGGCGAATATCGGCTGGTTTTAGTAAGTATGTGAAAAAATTCATATAGGAAAAAATGGATATTTCGCGATTTTTTCAGGAATAGTATGAGATAGAGAAAATCCAAAATACCAATCGACAGAGCTCGTCGAATTCTACTCTGGAACTCTTTGGAACAGTGGGAACGATTTCCTGGGCGAATATCGGCTGGTTTGCTCGCATATAAGGCTAACTTCGCCGATATCAAAAATTCTTCTACGAAACTATGATTAGATCAATTCAATATAGTATTCATATTTATAATCTAGAGATCATCAGAATAGATACTATAAACACATAAACCGTCTGATGAGACCCTTAGGCAAGGTCGAAATCGCGATCGCGGTATGCTTCTTCACTCATCCCTCATCCCTGCATACATATATTTAGAAAAGTCCTAATACTAAGATGTTACACGTTTATAGAGTAGCTACCACCCGTCAAACTGGCTGTATGAAACGTTTCCTTATATCTCAAGAAATCCCGGGCTTCTTGAGTATCCTGAGTTCCTTAAATTTCTGCGATTCTTGAGGTGTACGGAGTCCTTGGGATCCTTGAAGTTCTTGAATTGTTTGAATTTGTTGAAGTCTTTGAGTTCCTGGGCGCCTTTGACTTCCTTGGAGCTCTCAAATTCTTTGAGATTCTTGACATCCTTGAGTTCCTTGAGGTCCTTGAGATTCTTAGGTTCCTTGATTTCCTTGGAATCTTTGACTTCTTTGGAATTCTTGGAGTTTTTCAGTTCTTGGAGTCCATTGTCTTCTTTGGAGTCTTTGAGTTCCTTCGATTATCAGGTTGTTTCTCAGTTTCTGGATTTGTCAATATATGCGAAAATTCAACGTTAACTATTCTTTGAAAAAGCGACTTTTTAAGGAGAGATCTCCTTAAGCAAAATTAGTGTGATGTTTTTCTTCAGCAATGTTGAAAGAAAAACTGAAGTAAAATTTTTTTGCAGTGTTTATTTTTGTGAGAACAAGAAAAAGCTTTTTATTTGTTTTGAATACTTCAAATAAATATATTTTCTTTCATTTCACTTTACATCAATCGGCACAGTTGCCACACAGGATCAGAGATTCGATACCCATGTTATCTTCGACTAATTCATTAAGCAGAGGTCCAAATAAAGAAAGTATTACTTTAATCTGGTTTGATCATCAAATAGGAACCGAGAAGGATACAAATATTATTATAGAACGATTGCGTGAAATTAACGATTATTTACTTTTACATAAAGATCTCAACAAATGCATAACTGAAATTAAATCTATTCAAAATGAAAGAGTATTTTTGATTACTTGTGATTCACAAGCGTCACAAATAATACCATGTGTCAATTCTCTGTCTCAAGTCGAAGCAATATTTATTTTTGGTGTCGACAAAAACAAAGATCAAAAATTGCTTGATAAACATAAAAAAATAGTTGATATATTTATCGATCTTGATTCTTTGTGTGTAGCTATCCAAAAATATATCCGTGTAATACATAAACAATTAGAAATTGCCAGTTTCTTCACTAACAATGAAAAATCTATTAAAAATTTATTTGAAGATTCAATAGATTTTCGATGGTTTCAACTTCTTACGCATATAACCCTACATTTACCACGTGATCAACTAGCAAAAACACAAATGATCAATATATGTCGACGATATTATCAAAATAATACTCATCAACTTAATTTAATTGATGAATTCGAAAAAGAATATGACAAAGATCAGGCTATTAAATGGTATTCCAAAGAATCTTTTTTATACAAATTAGTAAACACATCTTTTCGATCTGAAGATCTCATTGATTTATTTCACTTTCGTCTCTTTATTGGTGATCTATCTGATAGTATTGCTAGTGAACATAAACTGATGTTAGCATCAACAAATAAAACTATATGGACTGTTTATCGAGGTGCACAATTATCAAAAGAAAAATTAAATAAATTACAAGAAAGTGAAGGTAGACATCATTCATTCAATGGATTTATATCGACAAGTCAGTTAGAAGAAGTAGCACTCATGTTTGCTATCTCTAATACACAACATAATGATAATGTTCCGGTTCTATTCGTAATTACATGTGATGTAGAATCTGTTGGTAATCATGTCAAATTTGCCGATATACATCGATGGAGTGATCATCCAGAAGAACAGGAAATACTCTTCGATTTGAATAGTACCTTCTTTGTTCATAGTGTACGATCTGAGGCTATGATCATGAAGAATACATTAAAAAAAGTACAAATCTGGCGAATCTATATGACTGCATCAACTGGCGGACAGATTATAACACATCCTTATATGGATGAAACTTATCGTCATATAAAAGAGATGAGTGCAAGTATTGTCTTTGGAAGATTAATATGTAATCAAGGTCGTTATGATAAAGCATTGGAATATTTTAAACAGTTATTAGACTATCCAGGATATGAAGATCTTGCTTGGATTGAATTTAATATTGGTCGATCGTATCGTTTCAAAGGAAACTTTGAAGAAGCACGAAAATATTATGATCTTGCATATAATAGAATGATGAATACTAAACCAATGCGAATTAAAGATTCCGCACGTATTATTCGTAATATTGGTAAAGTTTTAAAAGATCAAGGCAAGTATAACGAAGCTTTTCAATCTTATCGAAGAGGTCTTGAAATTCAAAAAACATTCTTCGATTTCAATCATCCAGATATTGCGAATAGTCTTGGCAGTATTGGAAATATTTTTGATATACAGGGAAATTATGATCAAGCTCTTGATTATTACGAACGAGCACTCAACATCCTTAAAGATTCTTTACCATGGAATCATCCAGACATTGCTACTATTCTTGCCCATACTGGTACTACCTTGAAAAATAAAGGCAAGTTCGATAAAGCTTTGGATCACTATCAACAAGCATTGAACATACGAGAGAAAGTTTTACCACCAAAACATCCTGATATTGCTAATAGTATGATCAATATAGGAAGTATTCTTAAAATACAAGGAAAACTCACAGTTGCTTTAGATTTCTATCAAACAGCACTTAAAATGCAACAGAAAAATTTGTCATCGAAACATTGGCTTACTGCCAAGAGTCTTAATGGTATTGGTAGCGTCTTTGAATATCAAGGAAATTATATAGAAGCACTTGAATGTTATCAACAAGCATTATCCATACTAGAGGAAAGTTTACCGGAAAATCATCCATATATTGCTTCTAACTTCACTTATATTGGTACTATTTTTCAGCATCTAGGAAAAGATGACGATGCTCTCAGTTATTTTCAACGAGCAATAAAAATCCAAGAAAAATGTTTACCGCCAAGTCATCCTCTTATTGGCGACACTTGGTTCAGTGGAGCAAACTGCTGTGAAAATCTCCACAAGCCAAAAACAGCATTAAAATATTATCAAAATGCATTAGCAGTCTATAAACAATGTTTAACAGTTCGAAAGAGATGTTACGATGAGATAAAAGAAAATATAGATCGGCTTTCAAATAAAAAGTAAACACGATCGAATTCGATTGGAACATTGCTTTCATGTTACGTTAAAGTGAGCTTTAAATTTCAAACTTATGATTTTTTAGTCTGCTGAGAATTCCAATGCTTAATCGTGTATTGGGTGTGGGTGAGGGATGTGAGTGCCGGTGTGGATCTCGATGTGGGTGTGGATTCAATCAATGGTCATCCACACCCACACCCACACAGATTTACGTTTATCTAACAGAATCAATCATATGATATCTTCTGTGGACTTCCCAGTGAAAAATTTTACTGATTAAATCTGATTATTCTGCAACAAAATCAAAATCAAAATCAGATTGATAATTTCGATTATAATTGACTATGATTAAATCATAACTTGATTTTGTTGCTTGCCCAGTGGAAAATTTTACTGATTAAATTTGATTATTCTGCAACAAAATCAAAATTAAAATCGGATTTATAATTTCGATTTTGTTGCAGAATAATCAGATTTAATCAGTAAAATTTTTCACTGAGTTATTGGATATCCATTTGAATCGGTCCATAGTAGATAGGAATGTGCGGTTTCAGTTTACTGATCACCGACTTCACTGACGCTGTCATTCAGTGTATCTCTGAGGCGCCGATCCTGTCAGGGCATATACTTAGAACAATGCAAAACTAGTGACGAAGGTATTTAATTTCTATATAGAAAGCTAAACCAAACTTTCTTTTTATATGAGATAATAGTAAAAATAACGGTCTGTTTTTCTATGATATTTCATCATTCTTCAACGAAATCATAATAATGAAATTTCGACAGAGAGTTGTTGACTGTGATATGTGACTACTGTGTCAATGGTAATACAGAAAAAAGACGAATGAGTGTTTTTTCGAATAACTTTGGTTAGAAACACGAGAGAAAACTGGACTTTTTACTGTCGGAAACAAAAGGTGAAGCTGTATCGAATCGCATATGACAGAGGTGAAATGTTAACATTATGGTTGCTCCACTCACCCTCCCCCTCAATTTCACAAGTGATTTTCTTTCAAATTCTACGTTTTCCATCATCTATACTAAATCAAATTCAATTTTACTACAGAACGCTGAGCAAAAATATATGCATGTATAACTAATTACTCTATCGATAAAACACATCTTGCTACTTTAACATAGTCACATACAAAACATCACTGCTAACTATGGTCAGACAAAAAATTAATTGACATTACGAATACGTACGAACCTCTTAATCTCTTAATGAGGTTTCCCCAATGAATGAAAACTATTATTAGTACAAAACCGTCAGTTTCATAAAGCGTGAATTAACAAAAAAAATATATATCAAAGTCACGATATGCAACATCGCGCAAAACAAGCATCAATGTTTATAATCGCAAATATGATCTCTGTCCGAGCCAGTGGGTCTAAAGAAACAACGGTTAGTTCGTTGCCCGATATAACCATCACGAGCACGAGCAGCAGCAGCATCAAGAGCACCAAGAGCATAAGCAGCATCAAGATTAGCAAAACGAGCACGAGTATAACGAGCGGCATCACCATCATAACCAGCACGATAAGCACTACCAGCAGTCATAGCACCAAAACTACCAGCAGCAAGACCAGCAAGACGACCAGGACGATGAGGACCATCAGCATCACCACCACGAATACGAGCAAGAAGAGCAAGAGCATCAGCACGAAGATCAGCAGTAGCATAAAAAGTAGCACCAGGACGA